CCACCCCAACCAGCTTGAACTGGCCCAGTTGTTCATCATTGCCAGTGTGCTGAAAAAAGGCGCCAAACAGCCCCACCGCTCTACCATAACGCATCTGACGTCTTGTTTACGGGTAAACCCGGAGAGATTTCGTCCAACACAGCAGCTTTCTTTGTCCATATATTGTTTGTGTCTATATTATGCGTTATTTTTTCCCTTCACTAAATACGCATTATTGTTTCGATGGGTTTTTCTATACTCAAATAGACCAAAAAAACCCAAAACAAAAACAACCCCAAATCAAACCAAAACCAAAAACAAAACAATACATCAATCAAATATCCATCGTGTTGATCTCCTCTACCTTTTTTACTTTCTGTACTCAAAAAAAAAAAAAACAACAACAAAAAAACAGACAACAACCCCCCCAAAAAAAAACCCAACAACAACCCAACAACAACCAACAACCAAAAAAACAACAACAAAAAACAAACAAACAACAGCAACAAACAAAAACCAAAAAAGCTATCAAACACCAAAATGTGGTCCCGAAGAAAGGATCGAACTCAGGTCTCATAAAGCTATTAGCAATGACTGAATGAGAACAGCTTACTGGTTTACCCCGTTATGTGTAACTCTTGGCCCAACAACAATGTCCTCCATGAACCCAACGCGCTTTCCGCACTTTCTGACCGAAGCCCAAATTTTAATCTAGTAGAGTTCTTTGTCTCGTCTTGCGTCCACGTTTCCAAACAGAAGTTTTATCCCCCACCAAAAAAAAATAATAAAAAAAAAATAAAAAAATTCTAGTAAATCCTCACTTTTCGAATGGTTTTTTTTTTAGCATTAGTTTAAAATTCGGATAGACAGATAGATAGATAGATAGATAGATAGATAGATATATAGATAGATAGATAGATAGATAGATAGATAGATAGATAGATAGATAGATAGATAGGCAGGTTGATTGGTATGTAAGTAGGTACACAGATAGTAGTTGACGCATTATATTTATTTATTATTTTTTTTTCATATTGAAGATCCTACAGTTATGACTCTCTTTTTAGTGACGAGAAACATGAAACTTTTTATTTTGCTCATAGGCGCCTCTTCTGCTAAGCCAATATAATACTACGTATAATCCCTCACCGATCTCTTCCATTACTCCCCCCCCCTCCCCCCTCCTCCTCAAACCACCTCACCAGCACTCCCCACTAAGAATCTGCCGAGGAGTAAAAGTCCTTAGAGACGGTGGGAAATGCTGGACGGAAAGACATAAGTAACGTTTTAAGATAAAACGGATAAAACCCCCAGACAAAACGTCATGCATACGAAATTACCGAGACAGTGTTGGACTTGGTATACTTCGCAATGACTTTGCGTCTCACGTCACGTAAATAACAGCAACCAGACTAAAAAGTTAGCGAAACTATCTTTGTTTACGGCTTTGAAACAACTCAACGATAACACTGTTTTGATTTTTTTAAGGCAACAAGGAACAGGAACCTCCCCCCCCCAACCCCCACCGTGTTTCCGACTTCTTCAGGGTGACCCAAAATACAACGTGAATAATGTTGTCTGGGTATTATGAGCTCTGACGTTAAGCTTAGGCTAAAGTTATTGTTGTTTATTTCTTTGCCATTTTCCTAATGATTCGATCCTGATGTAGCTGAGAGAAATGAGGTTTGATTTTGAAGTTTGTTGAATTCTGATAAGTATTCTAGGAATTTTATTTGTAGTAAAAAGAATCAAAAAGAAATTAAAAAGTAAAGAGAAATCATAAAAAGGAAAGAAAGAAAGAAAGAAAGAAAGAAAGAAAGAAAAGAAAGAAAGAAAGAAAGTAAGAAGAAAGAAAGAAAGAAAGAAAGAAAGAAAGAAAGAGAAAAAAGGAATGTAATATTTCGTACCGTTTCTCTCTCCCTCTGAGTAACGCTGTCCAAGACATAGATTCTAATTTTATCATTTTTCTGTTGTCGAATGTCACACAATAGAAATCAAGTGTTATGAACAGTTTGTGTATTCTCGGGATTTCTGTTTATGGTTTGATTGAAAGGTATTTACTCTTCACTTTCATCTGTGGTTTCTATCTGTCTGTAATGCTTTGCCATGCACAAGTCGAACGTTATCACTTCGTCGTCTCAAACATCATTCTTTGTTTCTGTTAGTCGAAGAAAGCTCTGGAATGTTTTGTGCATTATTGCTGTAAACATGATGCTAAAGTCATTAATTAAGAGACATTTTCATGGTGTCTTTGTAGTGCTGTTTAGTGTGCCAGCGTTACACTTCCCTAACGACAGTTCATAATACATACATGTAACGTCTTTGGGTTCTACAAAGAGGAATTCTTACGATATGCGTAACAGAATACGAGGCATTTAAAAACATAAATTATTGGCTAAAAGCGGACACTTCCGGTTTACTGATACTTTTGTTACTGTTGCTCAAAATGTAATGGATTAGGAATATACCTGCAACACCCCCCCCCCCTCCTTCCGCTTGGATAATGATATACAATGTACGTTTGACAGCAAAAACAGGTATCGCACCAAGAGTTAAATGGAACCCATCGTATAACCACTAATAAACAAGAAGCATAGAAAAACAAACAGTCCTTTTATTTACTTTCTCTCTCTTTTGCAGTCTTGACCTCCTTGGAGTATGAGCCGAAGTTTGACCGTCCGATGGTGAATGTCACAGTAAAGGAAAAGAACACTGCCATCTTGCCGTGTAGCGTCAACTTTTTAGGATCTCACGAGGTAAATTTGGTTTAGTGGGCCTCTATTTGACGTGCTCACATTTAAAACGTAAATAAGCTTACTGTGCATTCTGTTTGAGAACCTCTTGTCCAGTTGTTCAGATGTTTGCCAAGAATAATTGGTCGCTTTTAATTTTAAGGACAAGCAGGCTAACCTAGATTTCGGTGGTTTCCAGAAATCTTGACCTACACCAAAGTTTCATTGGTGTGCATATTTTGTTTGGTTATAGAGAAAACTCTCCTTGTCTTTTAAAGAAACTGAACAAGGGGCAAAAGCTTTACCTTCGATTTTCTCAAAACAGCATTTTTCCGGATAGTCCCCTTGTGCTTTAAAAGCGAACAATTTTACTTCGTGTTTGCTTTATTTTCTCCACAATCCTACGTCTGTCTCAAAGAATGCACCTTTATCGTTTATATTGGGACTACGAAAGAAAGGAGATTGTTTATTTTTCAAGCATCACAAGATTAGAACAAAATTTACAAAATGATGCAAACATTTCAGAACGACTTGTCCAATAGGGTAAACATACGAAGTTGGATTCATCATAACATTATCATTTCAAAACAGTATGTTGTTTATGACCTTCAGCTCTTGAATCATAATAGTAATCTTAGGTCATAGTTATACGCTGCCTTGTGCGTGCCGATGCTGGTATTTTCTATTTTCCAATATCAGGCATCCACGTAAATGGGAACAGGGGACAAAAAACAACAACAACAACAACAACAACAACAACAACAACAACAACAACAACCCCCTCCCCCACCTGGCCCCTGCCTTAAAAACAAACAAACAAACAAAAAAAACCTTCTAAATCTCAAAATATCCTTCACCCTCCTCAGGTAGTGTGGACGGACCAGTTTTCTACACTGCTCACTTACCAAGACCGCAGGATCATTGATGATGAAAGGTGAGCCACACGTGCAGATAGCTTTCAATACTAGCCTTTGAAATTTTGATACTTTAAAAGACAAAATTGCATAGAAATATTACATATTGCGAAAGTGTGAGTGCACGCATGCACAGAGCACGAAAAAGCAAGTATTCATAATGGAGTTTAAGATATGAGGTTGAAACTGTTATGGTCTCCTAACTGCTGTCGTTTGTCCACTGATATTAACAACCAAAGATATTCATCGTGCCCACGTTAATACATGGGTATGATTTTGTACTTGTTCTCTTTTTTCGACAATGAGAAGAGTTTTAAGAAGCAATACGTTAATTGGATCGTTTCATAGAAACAATCAACAAAATGGAATTCATGTTATTAAACAGAACTCACAAATTTTAATGCCTTCCATGTTGTCCTCCCAAAGTGATGATTCATATTTTACGTCCCTATCGAGACAATTTTGATCGTTTACGAAGGCAGCATCCCGTCAGACAGACAGACGTGGGCACTTAATCAAATAAATAAGCTTCCCCTTCTGGGAGTCAAACTCATTTTCTGTTTTCAAGACGCCGATGTCGTCCTCATCTCCCCGTCCCTCGCCACAAAACATCTCAAATAACAAAACAGAAACAAACCCCCCCCCCAAAAAAGGGGGGGGGGGGGCTACAACAAGAGACACTAAATGATAACTCCAAAGTAAAATGAACGCCACACATTTTCTTCTCCCAGACTGAGTGTGGAACGTCCATACACAAGAGACTGGAACCTGCACATCCGTGACGTCAGATACAGTGACCAGGGCATCTATAACTGTCAGATTAACACCACACCAGTCAAAATCAAAACCATCAATTTGGTTGTTCTAGGTAAGTAAGTACTAGGCTATCATGTCCCTTTTCCTGTACGATTTAAAGAACTATCAAAACCGTGTGACGTTGTTCGCTAACAAACGCACTTCGGCGTGTGTGTTTGTAGGTGTGAGCGTATTCATGTGCATGTTCATTCACATAATTTAACTGTAACCATATCAGAAGGTAGCTAACATATAAATATAAATCTATTATCTTATCTATCCATTTGCTCGTCTGTCTACCTGTCAATACTTAAAATAAGCCTGCCGCCGTATATCCCTGTTTTTACCAATTTGTCAGTATATTTTTTTTTCTTTGGCGTGCGTGAGTTGCTGCTTGTGTTTCTGCTAATACTTTGAGAGTTCGTGTGTTTGTAAAAGTGTAAGTGCATGTGTATGACGGGGGTTCCTAGCAAGTTGGCTGTTTGTCCTCTTGTGCTTCGTTTTTCAAAAAGACGTCTCAGTAAATTGTTACAATGGCTGAGAGATAAAAATGTATAAAGCAGGGGTCTCAAACTTGAGGCCCGCGGAGCAACTGAGGCTCGCAGGACGACATTTTTGCGGCCTCAACTTGGCATCAAAGTTTAGTGTTAGTGCAGCCCGCACGTTTATCTCCCATTCACTTTTTTCTGTCGAATTATTGCCCTTGATGTTTGTATATATATATATATATATATATATATATATATATATACATTTATTTAAAAAATCACTTGAGGACCACCATTGCTCAGGCTTGTCACAGCTCCCGACAGCGTTGTTGACAAGCTTTAAACTTGATTTCAAACCTGTAATTTTTTCAACTTAAATTTAATATATTTTTAAAAAGTGGAATACTTGATGCGGCCAAGGTTCACATAGACTCTTCCTCCATCAGCCCCCCGGTAATCTGAGTTTGGAACCCGTGGTATAATGAAGTCTGCAGCACAATTAAAGATTCTCTAAAATATCAGAATATAAAGCCCCAACGACAAATCCTATAAAGCAGTAACTGTTGTTAAGACCAAGACGGGATGATAAAGAAAACGCCTAATATTTATGAAAGAGCTTTTAACTGCTTTTAACGACTTCTACCGAGAACCTTGAATAACAATACTAAAAAAACAAATATAGATGATGATAGTATTTTGAGGTATGTGCTTGTTAAAAGACTTGTTTGTTAAATTTACAGTTCTTCCCCTTTGTGAAGTCTGATAGAGTTACTCTACAGAGGCAGTTACGTCAGAGCCATAGAGTTTAAAAGGGGGTAACTCTATGGTCAGAGCTCATTCGTCAATAAACAGCACAGGACGGTATTAGGTAAAAGTGTTTGTGTACTCCTCTGAGATTTGGAGTCTCCTCCCCCCCTCCACCCACTAAATCGCGCCCTCCAAATTCTCCCTCTCTCTCTCTTTCTCTCTCTCTCTTTCTTTCTCTCTCTCTCTCTCTCTCTCTCTCTCTCTCTCTCTCTCTCTCTCTCTTTCCCTCTTTGACTGCCTGTCTGTCTGTCTGTCTGTCTGTATGTCTGTCTGTCACACACACACACACACACACACACACACACACACACACACACACACACACACACAAACACACACACACACACACACACACACACACGTTTGCGGGCACGCGCACCTACACACAAACGCGCTGGATATATGTTTTTTTGCTCAAGCGAGAAATATCCCTAAGTAGAAAATTATTTAAACGTTTCAATCAATTGTCAGTGTGTTTTCAAAAGCCCCATTCAACATCGTAGGTGAATTTTGTCCAATGGTCCTACCAAGAAATAACCTTATTTTTACCTGAAGATGATTGGCTGTAGACACACAAAAAAAACCCAGATTTGGCACTAGTACTAGTAACTCATCGGGATCAAATACCGTTATCTTCCCTTTTCTGTACACGTTGCCTAGGTTATGACCTGATTCTGATCGTGTTCACAAAATGTGTAACTTATCCCAGAGAATTATATATAACAATATTACAGGATTGTTTCATAATTTTTTGCTAACAGGTGACAGTGATGTGTTCCTTTTTCAAGCAAGTTTAGGGCAAAAAAGGAAACTCATTTAAGTAAACTTGATGATTATAATCAGAGAAAACAGGTATTTGTATTTTAAACAATGAATAGGCAATGCTGTTGGTGAACGAATTCACTTGCTTCTGTTTAAACTTGAACTTGTTGTATTCCTATAAAGTTGTCAACAAATTTCGGGATAACTATCAAGTCTCTTCGCAAATATTTCTTTCAGCATTAACAAGAAAAAAGAAATTCAGATAATGTATATTATTTACTATTGTTTCTGTTACTCGAGTAGGTGTTTGGGGGAAATTGAGCGCAATGTGCGGATGATAAATGAGTCCTCTGAAACAAAACAAAACCAACGATCTCTAACTTACGAAGCCTCTCCCCCAGGGAAGCTAAAACAGAGCTGGTCCATCAAAGACCGAGTATGAAGAGAGAGGAATCATTATCTCTCACGTAACTCTTTGTCTCGACATCCCCCGGGTACGGCCAAGCTACAGCATAATTGACTTGCATGGTCTAGAGACGACCATACGAAATTTGCTTCCCATCTCGATCGGCAGAGTATGTATAATGCCGAGGACTCGAGATGTACAGGGGTCGGTTTACGAAAACCACAAAGGGGGTGAGGTCATAACTTTATTGCGCATGTCTAGCTTCTTAAGACGGTATCTATGGATACAGAACAACTTCCATACTGCTTCCTTCGGCCTGGCGGTGAATCTTTTTCGGGTGTCTTTTTTTTTTTCTTTGCCTGTCAGTCCGTATGATTGTTGTCTGTACTACTGTATAACGTTTTGTTTTTAGTTTTCAAAATCTCTTCACTGACCTGTAGTGGCTTGTAGAGATTTCCATATCAACTGGAAAAACTTCGAGCAAAAGTTACTAATCGCTAAAACAACCAAAGATCATACCCCCCCCCCCCCCTCCCAAAGATAATACACTTTCTCTCCCCCCCCCCCTCCCTCACTCCCCGTCCAAATAATATCTGTTCAAAGAATGATTTAGATCATAGAAAATGACTCTTCGGTTTGTTAACAACTGTTCATAACTATTCATGAAGTCAATCGTAATTCATTGACCCTAGCCAGTGCCTGTCTCACCGCGATACCATCATGTGGGGGGCGCCTCCATACGCCCCAAAAGACAGCAGCCATTTGTCTGAGGACGGGGTCACGCGATAATGTATTTATCTTTCCGTTTATTTCATCATACTAAAGCATTATATTTTTTGCTCATTGTATCGTAATTTAATATGCTTAACACAAACACATCGTTCGTGGAAGTTACAGATAAATAGGCCCTGCGCAATGAACAAAAGATAATCAAGTTACGAATCATTAAAAGGAGGAAGTGGCCGTGATATGCTGTTCTACAGGGCACTGAGAAAATCAGGGACAAATAATGCTCTTATAAGAATTATGGCAATATTTGTCAAAAGTTTTGAAAATTGTAATCCCGGAAATCGTTCTTCTTCGACTTCCCACAAAAGGAGACGAAAAGTACTCACGTTCAGGATTTTGCGCCCCACAAGTAGCGACCTGTAATTTCTCCCCTCCTGATATCACTTCACACATGGGAAGGAAGAAGTCATGTGGTGTCTATTCAGTGAACTTGAATATTAAATCTCTTGAATAATACGGTTCAGTGGAAATGGACAGATCAACATCTTTGAAATCACCTGACCAGACTCTGAAGCATTGAAACATTTTTTTATCAACGTATATTTGTGACAGTACCAGACCTTAATAATACGAGTCAGTAATTCATAATTTTAAGGCTTGAGCAAGGAAAAGTTAGTTAAGGAAAAGGAGGCAATGGAGTAACTACAGTTTTGAAATCTTTTTCTACTCAGTTCTTCTGCTATAAAGTCGTAGTATGGTTATCATAGCGTACAGGTCCTTGATGGCGATGTATACCAATCTATCCCGTTTTTATTTGAGAACTGTAGTACTGTGTGACCTAATCTGCTGCTGAAAATTACAACTACGAGTGTAATATTTCATTTTCTGCTTATGATAGAAAATCCCTCAAGTGGATCTGACAACGTTTTACTGGTTCCAGATTTCTTACAAATCACGTTCCTTACTTTAAAACCCTGTCTTATCTAGTTACGGGATTTATCTTCTCAGTAAAATAATATTAATTATATTTTCATCTTTTTTGTGAATATGTTAGCTCATTCTTTCTGGTTTTCAACGGGGAATGTTAAAATGATTCACTTTTTAAAATACACAAATACAAGACAGTTCCATATTTCCAATTCGTCAATCATGGTACCCTCTCCGCCAGTATTGTACTCTGTGATTGACTTCAAATGTTATATACGTCATGATTCAAAACCTTAGACAGCGGGTGCCGAGAGCACTTCCCCATTTCCAGCCTTCCACACACCAGCACATACCACCATATTTCTTCTCATCCCCTTTCTCATTCCTCTAACCCTGAGCCCCCATGTCGCTCTTCCCAGCGTCAATATCTCTCAATGTCCATCCAATTATTAGCTGCTAGTTTTCTCTTTCCATTTCAGCTCATTGGGTGAATGCATGTTGCCTTTGATTGTCTGAAACTAAGAATATTGTTTCGGACTTTCGAAGAGAGAATCTAATCGTGTCTTGGACATGTGTTAACATCTTAATAAAAACAAAGGGACAAATACGCCTCAGGAATGAACGGGGAACATGTTTTGCTGAGCGGTGTTGATGCGGAATGAACGTCCGTAAGTTGAAATTGGAGGCCTGTGCGAGGAAGCTGTCTTTTACGACATGGTTGCTCACAACCAACAACTTTTAATTCAAGTGTCCGGTTGATTCTAACGGAGTGTATAACGTGCGATTGAACAAAAACCAGTAATGGGCTGAAAGTTTAGCCTCAGAAGGACACACTGAAGACTGAAGACGTTTCCATTGATTCTTGACATCCAACGTTCAGCGAATTGGGCACGCGAAAAGGCCTCTGATAGAGACGACCGAGACAAAGTGCTGGAAGAATACAAAATCCGAGAA